GGCCACCCAGCCGCCCCGGCTCCAGCCCAAACCGGGCTGCCGTCAGCTCTGGGGAGCACCGGACGATAAGGACGTTCTTGCCCTTCAGCTCCTGATGGGGGTCCTGAAAGGAGAGCCCCGCTCTAGAAACGCGCCGCGCTGAGGAGAGGTTGGACCCCCCCATGCTTTGGGGCTGCTCTACCATCGCCCCATGCCCAGGGTGGGGGTCCCCTACTGATGCTCCCAGTATCGGGCAGGTCTTTGCTCTCTCTCACCTTCGCAGGGCTCACATTGCCAGTCTCCTTCACTCCGTAGTGGTACATGAAGACATCTCCCAGGGTCGTCCCCTCTGCAGCCCCCTCGACAGGGTCAGGAAGGAGAGCCCGGATTTCCTCGGCTGCCCACACGCAGAAAGCTCCTTCTCGCTTCTCCCCGGATGTGATGGTTGGGTAGGAATCCGCATCTTCCGCACTGTAGAAACCTCCTGCCTGGGAAAAAAGCAACAGAGAGACCTTCCAGCGATGGGACAGCACCTTCAGCCAGCTCCCCATCGCTGCGGGCTGGCATTCCAGCCAGCGAGCCACAGCAGTGACCCAGACTGAGCTCAGCTGGGAAGGGAGAGAGGGAGGGAAAAGCCGCCCAGAGCTACATCCCAGGGCAAGGTAAGTGGCTCCCTTTGGCCCAGCTCAGGGAACAACCTACCTGGTCACTCAGGTCCCGTGAGACATAGAGCAGAATGTCTTGGGCCATATCGGCAAAGAACTCCTCACCCGAGATCTGAGGGAGGCACAGGGTGGACATCAGTGTTGCAAGGGCAGAGGGGAGGCAAGAGACACAGCGAGGGGGAAGAAGTGATTCTGATTTAAAGGGCTGGCAAAGGGAGGGAACATCCAGGAATTTTAAACACGGGATGGATTCAGAGTAAGATCTCTGACAGAAATCTACAGGCACTGGAGAGCAACCCTGGAGTTACACCAAGGCCAGAGGCTGCAGCACGTGTTTGCTGATTCTTACCGAGACCAGCCAGAAGGCTGTTCCCTCCCCCATTATACTCAAAACCCTGGGGCTAAACCATCATGGATTTGTGCAGCACTCCTGTCTGGAGGATGACCAGTAGATGAAGGGGAGCATGGGACCACTCCATGCCCATGGGATGGGCAACATCTTGGGGGACAAGCTTTGAAGCTGCCCCTCGAGCCACGCCAGCCCTCCCCAGCTAGCACTCTGCGTGGCAGGTGAGCTGCCCCTGCAGAGGGATGCCTCGACTGTACCTGAAACGCTCTGCTATAGGCAGCTGCCAGCTGCCCCTGGTCGTACAGCATCTTCTCAAAGTGAGGGACATGCCACTGCTGGTCCGTGGAATAGCGGTGAAACCCCTGCAAAGGCCAAGAGGTCATGTCTCCGCCCCACGCCTCCTGGGGATGACCCCCAAGGGCTTTTCTCCCACCTGACCGACGTGGTCGTGGATGCCGCCATGGGCCATCATCCTCAGGGTATGCAGAGCCATCTGCAGTGCCCGGGCACCTTCTGGAGTCGTTTGGTGCAGGGCCCAGTACGTGAAGAGGAAATTCAGATTCACTGAAACACAGGGAGAAGGTGGGAGGCTGTGGGGTGGGCTCTGCCCCACGGCACTGCCTGCCCCACAGCACGGCTCAGCAACAGAGGCCAGACTGACCTGGGGTGGGGAATTTGGGGGATTCAGAAAAGCCACCGTAGTCCTCATCGTAGGAGTCGGAGAGCTGCTGGAAGCAGGTGGCCATCACCTCTTTGGATGGCGGGGGTGACCCCTGGGCCCACACACGCATCTCAGACCTGTGCTGCAGCATTTCCAGGATCTTCTGGCTGTTCTCCAACAGGGCATCTTTGTTCTCCTTCCACTGCGGCAGAGTGAGAAAGTCAGTTCTTCCATTTTTCATCCATTTCCTGCATTGCACTGGTCCAACCTGCACCTTCAGCTCCTCGTCCCCCTCCTCAGTTCCGATCCCTCTCTAGCCCAGCCAAAGCTCTGACGTGTTCTCTGGGCTGCTGTTTCCCACGGTCTACCTCCTGGCCACCCATCAAGCCCAGACCAATTTCCTGCTGGCCCCTTCGGTTGAGCGCTGCCTGCTCCGCTACTCCTGCTCCGTACCTGCTCTGCGATGCGGAGCAGCACAGTCCGAAAGCCGACACGATGAACCCCATCTTCAGGAGGGAAGTATGTCCCCCCCACAAAGGGCTTGAGGTCCGGCGTCAGCCAGACGCTCATCGGCCACCCCCCTCTGCCGCTGGTTGCCTGGAAGACAAATCAGGGGAGCACCAAGGTCACTCAGGAGGCACCCCCTGCCCTGCGCCCCTCTGGCACACGCGTGTGCCTCACGCGAGGGCATGCGTGTGCTCCTCCCCATCCTTGTCATCATGCACGGTCCCCTTCGGACCACCCCATGCATCCGTGCTTCTGGCCTGAGGAACACAACCACAAACCTCATCTTGAGATGGCCCAAACCTCCCGTGCGTCCCTCACCTGCACGAAGGTCATGTACACTTTGTCCACGTCCGGCCGCTCCTCGCGATCCACCTTGACGCACACGTAGTGCTTGTTCATAATCTCCCCGATTTCCGCGTTCTTGAAGGACTCCTCTTCCATCACGTGGCACCAGTGGCAGGTGGAGTAGCCAACTGGAAATGAGGTGAGTGAGGAAAGGATGCTCCTGCTGCGGGGACATCGCTTGGAGGGGGACACCCTGCTATGGAGAACAGCTGCCGCCCCCCTGGAAAGGCCTTCCATGAGCATGGAGGCTTCCAGGGCCTCCTGGGCTCTCCAGCTCCTGCTCCTAAAATCTGGCCAAGGAGTCCAGCAGCCAGGAAGGACCCTGGATTCAGCCCATCTTCTGTGCGAGCTACCAGCGCCCTCTCTTTCCGGCAGAGGATGTGCCCAGGGTCCATCCCTACCTATGGATCTATTCACACACCAGCCCAGGACACAGCCTGGCTTACCCGGTCATCCACCGCACGACGAGCATCAGAATGACAAGTTAAGTTTGTGGAGTCAGTTGGCTGGAT